AACATTTTCTTAGAATTTAGCACTAGAACACATTCTGTCTTGAAAGCAGGAAGCTCAGCCCCAAGTGAATACTTGCTCACTGCCACTTTCAAGTGAGAATCACAGAATGACAAACTTGATGATTCCTTATTCTACAGGTCTTGTAAGAGCTGTATGTATAGCTAAAATGTGTTGAGATCTTGGGAACAGAGCTGATGAGGGATTAACCCTAATGACATCAGGACCCTAGAATTTGCAGGCAAGAAATTGCCTCCAGCCTGGGCATGGGGATGTATGCCTGTAATCCCAGCTACTTGAAAAGCTGAGGTAGGAGGATAGCAATTTCCAGGCCAGCCTGGGCAACTTAGTAAGACTCCATCTAAAAATAAAAATAAAATAAGAAGAATAAAATAAAAGGGCTGGAGATGCAGGTCAGTGGTAAAATGACACTGGGATTCAATCCCTAATACCATCCACACACACACACACACACAAAGCCTCTAGCAGCCCAATTCAATAGTATCTCCTCTGCTTCTTGGTCAGGATATATATACAACCCAAGAGAAAGAGCTAGGAATTAGGAGTACCTGGGCCAGGGGCCAAGGAACTAGACAAGACAAACATAGGGTAACTTTCTCAAAGAACACAAAAACTTTCTATTTATAGAACTCTGCTATTCTCTCAGTTGGGTAAATAATTTTATTCTGGTCAGAATTCACTATATTTCCAAAATTGGATTCAATTAATTTGTTAACTCCTATAGACAACAGCTCTGGCAGCATGTCCTTTGGGGGACTCCTATAAGGTGCACATCCCTGCATCCCTACAATTTGGCTCTGCAGCACTCTGACCAGTTCTTCAGACTGAATGATTTGTTCAGTTGGCTATAATCTGCTCTTTTGAAATAGCCACTGACTTTTTAGTTGCAATGATTATTTTTCTTTTCAAACCAAGAAGTACTCTGGTTCATTTCCAAATTTGTCTGGCCTTTTTGATGGTGTGTTATTCTTTTTATCCTTTATTGAGACATAATTCACATATAATAAAATTCATTTTAAAATACCAAATTTAGTAGTTTTTAGAATATTTATAAGTTTGTGCAACCACTGCCATCATCTCATTTCAGGGATCTTTCATAATTCCAAAAAGAAACTATACCCATCAATAATCACTCCCTTTCCTTTCCTCCCCTCCCAACTCCTGGCAATTACTAACTGACTTTCTGTCTAGATTTGTTTATTTTGGATGCTTCACATAAACAGAATCATACAATAAGTGGTTCTTTTGTTATTGGCTAAGTTCTATCCCTGTTGTAGCACAGGCAAGTACTCCATTCTTTTGGATTCATGAATAATATTCTATTGTATGGATATATCGTACATGTTGTCAAAGAGTTAATGGAAATTTGAGGTGTTTCTACTTTTTGATTATTATGAGTAGTAACGATATGAATCTTTGTGTACAAGTTAATGCATTAGCATATGCTTTCAATTCCATTTGAGGGACTGCTAGACTGTTTTCCAAAGCAGCTGAACAATATTCCCTCCAGCAGTATATGAGGGTTCCAAGTTTTCCCTATCCTCACCAATACTTATTTAAAATTTTTTTTTTTAGTTGTAGATACATAATATCTTTATTTATTTATATGTGGTGCTGAGGATAGAACCGAGTGCCTCATATATGCGAGGCAAGTGCTTTACCACTGAGCCACAGCCACAGCCCCTCACCAATACTTATTATCTGACAATCTGATCTTATGATTTCAGCTACCTTAATTGATGTGAAGTGATATCTTATTATGTTTGGTATGTGTGTGTGGTGGTGGGGCGGGGCAGAGATACTGGGATTGAACCCAGGGCCCTGCACATATTAGGAAAGTGCTCCCACCCTCAGTCCTTTATTTTATTTAGAATGAGTCTTGTTGTCTAGGCTGGTCTTCAGCTTGTGATCCTCTTGTCTCAGCTTCTAGGTAGTTGCGATTACAAGTGTGTGCCACCACACCCAACTAATCATTGTACTTTTGATTTGCATTTCACCCTGATGGCTCATGACGTGGTTATGACTCTTTTGGCAGTACTCCTGTAACCCATCAGTGCTGTACTGCTGAGACACATCCTTAATCCTTTTTATTTTAAGTCAGGGTCTTGCTAAATTGCTGAGGCTGGCCTTGAACTTGGGATCTGCCTTCCTCAGCCACCAGAGTTGCTGGGATTACAGGCATGCACCACCTGACGGGCCATTTCTGTATCTTCTTAGGAGAAATTTGTATTTAAATTTTTTGCCCATTTAAAAACTGCATTATTAATCTTTTTATGGTTGAACTGTGAGAGTTCTTTATTATACTTTAGATCCTCAAACTTAAACAGATGTTATTTTCAAATATTTTATCCTCAATCTATGGGTTGTCTTTTTACTCTGATCATGTCCTATGAAGCTCAATTTAAATTTGATTAAATCCCAGTTTCCTTTTTTATTTTCCCTTAGTTGTCTGTGCTTTAAGTATCATATTTGAGAAACAGTTGCTTAATCCAAGGTCACAGATTTCTATGCTTTCTTCTAAAAGTTTTATAGTTTTAATTCTCACACTTAGTTCTATTTTGGTTTATCTTTCATGATTTTAAGTGTATCTATTGTTTCCATCTGAAAATTCTATAATCAGAGGTTAAATGAAGTCTAAACTTCTTACTCATCCTGTCCCTGATATTTGGGCATACTGCATTCTTCATATATTTTGTTACTTTCAATCTTAAATTCATTTTTGTGGTCCTTTATTGGTGGAAATGCTGCCTAGAACAGAAATATCTCTGCTGGGTGGATCTGCTTCAAGTACCTATGAATGTTAACTAGATAAGTTTTGTTCTGTGTTCATTTTTATTGGCATTTCATTTCATGGCTGGTGATTTCTGGATAATATGGGTAATGTTAACTCGGCCTAGAATCCACAAGGATAGGCCTGTGGTAACAGACTCAAAATGAGGCATTCCAACTTCTCTGCCGTATGTCTGGCTGCCAGTCAGGTTTTCTTTAGCGCCAACTTCTTATTAGAAATGTCCTTTTTCAAGTGGCTTCACTTTATGCTGATGACTTAATTCCAACTCCTACATGGTTCAAGTACAACACTCTGAACTGACTGATGGTGGCCATTAAAATTCAAGGCCCTGGAGCAGGGTGCAATAGTGTACGCCTAATAATGACTTTAGAGGTTGAAGCAGGAGGATTGCAAGTTTGAGGTCAGCTTCAGCAACTAAGCAAGGCCCTAAGGCACTTAGTGAGACCCTGTCTCAAAATAAAAACTAAAAATTAGAGCTAGGGATGGTAGTATAGCAACCCTGGATTCAATTCTCAGTACAAAAATAAAAAAAGTAAGGCCCTTAGTCATGAGGTTGGCAGCCCCTAAGCCCAACACCTACAGTGAGCAGTGTGGTCCTGCCCACTGCTCAGTTTTTTTGTTCACTTTTAGATTTTGGCTCCTAGGAGCCAGATGCAGTGGTACATGCCTGTGAGACTAGCTACTTGAGAGACTGAAGCAGCAGGAGGATCATAAGTTTGAAGCCAGCCTGGGCAACTTAGCAAGGCCCTGTCTCAGAATAAAAAATAAAGAGGTCTAGAAATGTAGATCAGTGGTAGAGTACCCCTGGATTCAATCCTCAGCACCACTAAAAAAGAAAAAAACATTAGCACCTAGATTTAATCCAACACTTATGAAGTGTGTACTAGCAGGAAGGCTTTCAGATTCTTCCAATTGCTGCACAGAAAAATTACAAGTAAAATAATCATATTAAATTTTTTATACTAGAGCAAGCATGTTACATTACAGAGTAGAAGATTCCACAATAAGTTCACAAAACTTGAAGGGAGTATCTTCCCATGATGGCCCACAGGGAAAACAAATCCTGCACAGACAAATGGTTTTTTTAAATATTTTTTTAGTCATAGTTGGACATAATACCTTTATTTTATTTATTTATTTTTATGTGGTGCTGAGGATCGAACCTAGCGCCTCACAAGTGCTAGGCGAGTGCTAGACCGCTGAGCCACAACCCCAGCCCAAATGGTTTTGTGATCATCAGCAAAGTCCTAGGGGACAGCAAGCTGTGGTTTTAGTTCCAAGACATGGATGACTGCAAGTGCCCCTCTTATTTGGCACCTATTTGCTTTGTGGCTGTTTTAAGAGTCTCTGACCAATATTCCTGTACTGGACTATTGGTGACACAGGCTGGGTTTTGTGTGCCCAGGGCTGCCAAGTGAGCCCTAGTTGCCCTGTAGTAGGACACAACCCTGAGAGTATAGCTCTTGTGTTCAGCCCTTATGGAGGAAAGTGGTCCAGCCCATGTCTAGCTCCCCAACCCTGGACCCTCTGGGATGTACAATATGCTCCCTTCTGTGGCAGGCTTGGAGGGAAGGCCCTCCCAGGAGGCAGAGAAGCTCAGTGCCAATGGCAGAGGTTGCACATACTTGCTTTAGCTGCCCTGGGAAGATGCTCTCTTGCAACCACAGCAAATAAAGAACTATAGCCCACTTATCTTTGCTGCTGTGTACTAGAGAAGTATAGAAAATGAATTAGTAGCACCCAGTCTATATGAGCACAGAAGCCCATCAAACCTCATAAAAATCTCATCTAGATGTCACTTGTATCTCAGCTTTCCACTTCTAGTCAGTTTCTGAGCAGAAGGTCATGACTTACACTGTGCAACAACATCAGAACCTTCCATCTCTCCAATCAATCTCTTTCTCTTCTTCTGGGCAAACTGGGCTCCACTCAAAGGACAATATTACTGTTCACACAGACTGCACTCAGCAGCACTTGTGCCTTTCCCCTTGATGTTCTTTTGCTCAGTATATTCCCCCACAGCTCCTTCTAGCCCCTCCCCACTTTAAGCAGCTCTTCTTTTCTCCTGGGAGCTAGAGGTTCACACCAGCTTCTGCAATTGTGATCCCCTGCAGGAGGCAGGCTGCCTGGAAGAACTGCAACTTAATGGCCCTTCTCTGGGCTCTTCAGGTTCCATGCATCCAACACCTACCTTTCAACAGCTGTCGAAGTCACACTTGTCAAGGAAGGAGCACCTGGCGTGGCTTTGGACCGCTCTGTGAATCGGGAGTCAAATGCTTTCATGGGTTCAATCTTGGACGGGGTTGTTAACACGGAGGGTGACAATGCAGCAGTAGTAGAGGTAGCATTCATACTAAAGGGTGAAGAAGATGGGAGGTACATCAAGCACAATCCCAAAGGGATTTGTAGGTGTAGGACTTAAGTTATTTGGAGCCTATGGAAAGGGGCACAAATATCAAACTTTTATAAGCAAAAAAAATTCCTGATTTATTTTTTAAAAATTTTATGCTGGAATTCTAAAAGTCTACATGAGAAAATCAACAGTAAATGCCTTCATATTTGCCTGTGTTTTGTTCTGAGAGCTTTTTGGAGTAGCTAACCATAGAGCCCCATCTCTACAACCTGAACACAGCATGTATCCCCCTAAACCACCCTAACCACTAACCTTTGCTACTTCTACACGGATTAGATGAGAAAAGTCCTCACTCAGGTTTCTGAAGCTTTGGTCTGTTTTTGGCCTTCATCCTTGGCCTAGCTAGCCCTTCCATCCAGAATGGCCCTCTCATTTCTCACTGTGACAATGACATATTCTTAGGACTCTCCTCCAAGTTTTCACCCCATAGCCCTTGCTTTCTATTCCACAGAGAAAGGAGAGGCCCAGGCATGAGGTTCCCCAGCTTCCCCCCCTGCCCAAGTCTATCCCATACCCTTGGGCCCAAAGCCCCTGGGCCTCCAACTGATTCCATGCAGACTAACACCTCCATCCCTATCTGCTTGGATCCCATACCAGATGCCTAGTAGTCACCCTGGACAGCACTTTCCTCCTGTAAGATCAATCTCTGAAATGTTTCTCAGCTCTGGTGCTATTTGTCTTTCCCAGACACCCTTCCTCCTTCGATGCTTTATTTCCCAACTGTTCTTGCTGCATTGTCTCCTCTTCTGATCTACCTCAGAGTTCCCTAAGAGGAATGCCTTTAATGCTTATTGTGTCTCCATGGTCCCAATGTAAAAGCAGAAGGCTATGTAACACAGGACCTTATCACCAACCCACAGAGAATCATTTCCACAGTTATCAGCCAAGGACTAAATTTGGGCACCAATGCTATTGGAACCATCTTCTTAAAATGCAAGTCCAAACCCTTCTGTGTCTCCACTCAGCAAAACCCAGATTATCTGGTTCAGCACAGGAACCCAGTCTCTCTCCTTTCTTTCCTGGCTCTCCTCAGAGCCTCAGAGTTCTGCTCTTGTCACTGCCACACTCCACAACGGCTTATATGGGCCCTGGGCTGGGCAAACTTCTGAAAAGCCTCCCTGAGATCTGCCCATCAATCCCCCTGATAGCTAGGCATTTGTGCATAGGGACTCCAGGAGCTACCCTTCAACCCTGTGGTTGCTTTTTCCTCATCAGCCCACATATTTATTCCTTGAGGACAAGAACCCACCAATCAATCCCCTATGGAAACCAGATACCTGCAGTGTGTAACCCAGAGCAGTGTGGAGCAAATGCTCACTTCTGGCTCTTATTTATGCTCACCTGGTCCTTTCTGACTTCCAACTTGGTTTGGAATGGTCAGTGAGGATACAGGCTCTCTGAGTAAATATGATTCTGACAGTGTCAGGGAATTTGTGTGTCTGCACAAAAGTGCGTGCCTGGGACGAATAATGAGCAAGGATTACAGCACAGAGAAGTGCTGTAAAAGCCCTAGAAATGCAAGGCTACAAACAGTGTAGATCTGCCAAAAGGTAGGGCTGACCCTGTGACAGGTAGCATCTCACTGGCAGGTACCCAGCCTCCATATCCTGCACCATGGTTGGCCATGAAACCATCTTTGTGATGATCCTTATAGTCCTATGCTTCAGAGACTTGCCTGAACAATTCTCCCTTCCAAATAGCCCCTCATTTAAAATCAAGCATTTCTTTCTTTTGTTTTATTGAAGGGCCACAAAGTGAGAAGAGAATGAAATTCTCATCCCTGTAACCATGTCCAAACCTAAACTTTCCCCAGGGACAGTGATCTTGGCACCCACTAACCTGTCCTTACTGACAGACTCGCCTGCAGGCCTGGCACTGGCAGCTGCCACAGGCTCTGTGCAAGGCTTCGAGGCGCCGAAGGAGTTGGGGGTACTGGAGTCCAATGGCAGTAGCTGCTGACTGCTATGAGAGGAGAGCATGGTGCCTGCCAGTGAGCCCGAGAGTGGGATGCTGTTAAAGAATGCCGTGGAGAAGTCCCTGTTGCCAAGCAAGAACAAAAGTCAGCGAAAAAATCAGATGCTGTACCAAATATTTCATACCTTCTAAATAACATTTTTCTGGGTCCAGAGGCAATGTATTTTCATGGTAGGTAGATTGGAAAGTTACAGCAAATTCAAATGAAAATGAAAAGTATCTAATACAATATATTTAACTGAATCTAAGATGCATTAGTACTATATGTATCACTGAGACAACAATGCTACTTTTATAATTGTCAGATGCCATTTAAGACTGTATGATGCACCCTCATCTTAGGAGTTACACTTTGTAATCAGGTATGTCAGAATGAAGGAAATGCAGCATAGTGAGAAAGCCTTCCTACTGGATAGATGTTAACACAATTTACCTAACCAAGCCTCTACCAAGAAACAACTCTTTCTGTGACAGATAATGTTGCCACAGGAAGGAAGATTGTTAAGACTGAAGGTCCTGGGCCAGACCAGCCAGGGCTGACGACTCTGCCATTCGTGAGCTTATGATCTTGTGTGTTTTAATGACATCTATGGTGCCTCAGGTTTCTGTCTGTAAAACAGAAAGTGCTAGGACTCTTCTCATGGGATTGTTTTCCAGACTGAAAAAAGTTGAGGTAGCACATACCTAGAACACAGAGTAGTTGCTCAAGACATCTAGAATTATAGTAACTGCCATTACATCTGTTGATTCACAAATTACATGGATTAAATACCTACAAGTGGAATTGGAGCAGCAAATGGAAAGTTTTTTCATGATTTATAATAAACATTTCTAAGGTTCCCTCCTTAGAGTTTTCTATTACAAGCCATTTTTAAGAGTTCTTATTTTCCCACTTCAATGAAGTTTTATGAAATTTCATGAGTTGTCAATCTGATGGATAAAAAATGATATCTTACTACAGTGTTGGTTTGCAATTATTCTGATGCAAGATTAAATATTTTTCATATTTGATTTCCTTTTTTGTGAACTCTCTTCATGTTTCATATATTGCTCTATTTGACTACTGGTCCTTATCACTGATTTTAAAGAAATATATATATATATATATATATATATATAATTATATATATATATTTTTTTTTAACCCACCATTCTTTATACAAGTAGGAAATATTTTCTCAGGAAGTTGTGTTTTGATTCTTTATGATCCTTTTTTTCCCCACCCAATACTGGGGCCTGAACTCCATCATTTGCACATGTGTTCTACCATTGAGCTACATTCCCAGCCCTTTTCATTTTGGAAGGGGTCTTGCTAAATTGCCTAGGCCAGTCTTGAATTTGCAATCCTCTTGCCTCCATCTCCTGAGTGGCTGGGGATCATAGGTGTGTGGCACTTTGCCCAGCTATTTTTCTTTGTCAGAAAGATTACTTTTATGTGGTATAAATTTTGTGTTATTTGCAGAAAACTTTTTTACTTATTAAAATTATAAACAATTTTATAATTTTATAGATTATAAAAATATTTTTTCTCAAAGACTCTTCTAAAATTTTAAACATCAATAACAAAAAAATTAGCCTCTGTGCTCATCAGTGTTTCTAATTATAAGTTGTATGGTTGGGATCCAGTTTGTTTTCTAGAGTGACAGGTAATTCTGATTTTCACTTATTGAATTAGCTAATGTTTCATTCCTGGTATGATATGGTACATTTGAAAATCCCTTTTGGGGAAAAATTTGGGTCTTTGGGAATTACATTACATTCCCTTGCTCTGACTATTCATGTATCAGTACTTCACTGTTTAAATTGTTATATTTTACGTGAGTTTTAATTTCTAGCTCAGCATGGTGGTATATGCCTATAATCCTAGGGTCTGGAAGCCAAGGCAGGATTGTAAGTCAAGATCAGTATCACCAATTTAGTAAGACCCTCAGCAACTCTCAAAATAAAAAAGACTGGAGATGCTGGGGTTGTGGTTTAGTTGTAGAGTGCTTACCTAGCATGTGTGAGGCACTGGGTTTGAGTCTCATAACCACATATTTATAAGTTCATTAAATAATGGTCCATCAATAACTAAATATATATATTAAAAACAAAAGACTGGAGATTTGGGGATATAGTTCAGTGGTAAAGCATCCCTGGTTAAATCCTCTGCGGAATTAAAAAAAAAAAAAGAGGATTAATTTAATTTCTGGTGTGGTTAGTCTCCCAATTAATCTTTTTAAATTTTCCAAAAAATATTTTTCTATTTTCACACATAACTTTAGAATTTAATATGTTAAGGAGGAACTGCCATCTTTATGACACTGAGTCTTACAAGCTAATGAATGGTATGTATTTCCAGTTTTCTTTCTTTTGAGTTTTCTTTATAAATATTTACATTTCTTAGCCTAATGCAATGGTGTGTTACTTTTTCATTTAGGATTTTACACCGACATTCAGAAATGAAATAAGATTAAAATTTATTATGTTTTACCTTTATTAGTATTAATATTAGTATTACCTTTACTTTATTAGTTTTAATTTTTTGGAGACAGAGTCTCATGTTACCTAGGCTGGTCTTACAACTCTATAGTGATCCTCCTCTCCTGCTTCAGTCTCTTAAGTAGCTAAAACTATAGGCATGTGCCATAGTACCTGGCTATCTTGGTTACATTTTGATGAAAATATTATGTTCTTTAAAAAAAAAAAATCGTGATTCTGGAAGTCAAACCCAGGACTAAGTAAGTGCTCTACCACTGAACTATATGCCCAGTTTCAGTTATCTGTCTGTTCCTTAAAATTTTGTTATGCTTTCTTGGTGAAGCTTTCTTACTTTGATGACTTTTGGTGGATTTAGGTTAACTTTTTGATAGCATCTCAATTTCTTCTACAACAATTTGGCAGTTTTAGTAATCTTATTATTTTCCTCAAAATTCATCTACTTTCAAATTTATTTGCACAGAGTTCAGCAAAGAAATCTATTATCCTTTTGATTTATTCTTATCTGTTATTATTTCCTACTTGCAACTACTTTGGATATTTGTGTTTTTTCTTTCTTAATTAAGCAAATAATTACCTATTTGGTTGCTATTTGTTTGAACATGAGAATCAGGACAGTGAGAAAGCCTTTAAAACAAAAGAAATCAAGTTTTGATACCAGGAATATATACCCAATAGCAAAAAGCTGGCTTAAGGCCAGACAGAAAGCTCCCTACCTCCTTACCATTTAAACCTAGAAGGATCCACAGAACAATAGTACCATCATTATTACCACCTCCCTCACTCCCAGAGGCTTAACAGTATACAAAGCTCATTCACACACTGGTCTCACTTGAACCTTATAAAAGCTAGGCACTTGGCCTTATTGCTTGTAGGTTCACAAGAGGAAACAGGCTTGGTTAAAGGCAAATCATTGTTCTGGAAAGAGTCAGAAGACCTGGTTCTGGTCAGGTCTCTGCCTTCTGGGAGACTCAGTGTCCACACACCTAACGTGAGAGGCTGGGTTAGCACATCTCTTCAGTTTTCAAGGAAGATTTAAAACAGCTAATGGATGGACAATGGCAAAGTGCCAAGGACTACTATGTGTGGTCTCCATGAAGGACTTCTTGATGCTCAGTGCAGAGTCTGTACACAACCTAGAGTGAGATGCTGTGATTATAGGGTTCTTTTCTTTCATACAGGGCCTTATCATTCTTTAAATCAACATATATTGTTTCTGGAGAATGACCAATATAAAGGCAACTCTGATTTCAGACACTGAGACAACTGTAAAAGGTGAACGAATCCACATGCCTTCTTTTTGCCCCCATAGGGAATGTGTCCCAGAGACCTACTCTCTGCCAACAGTTCTGCTTTCAAGAATTATTCTGTAAAAACAGTCTCAAAGAGTATGCTCAAAAAGTCATTTACATCACAAAAAACTGGACACAAACTATAAGTCCACAGTTAAGGAGCTAGTTCAGTAAATAATTGCATTCATAGGACAGCAATCTGGATAATCAGCAAGCAAATGCTTCAGAGGACTATTTATTAAAGTAGGTGAAAAGTCAAGATACAGTAACAAGTGGGGAAAAAGACTGGAAATACAGATATCAAAATGTTAACAGGATTATATTTAAGAGAATTGATTATGAATAAAGTTTATATTTTTCTTTGGGCTTTTACTTTTTCTAAAATTTTCATGAAATATAAAAATTTCACCCCCCCCCACACACACACCTTTCATAATCAGAAAAGGTTATAAAAAGAAAAAAAAAAATCAGTCTGACTTCTTTTCCTGTGTCTTCCAGTGCCTTACCAACACTGAAGTACAGTAAATATGTGTAGATCTGAGAAAGCATCCTAGCCTATAGGCTATCTCAGCCTTCTGCCCTTTCACATGAGTCAAGTATGCACAGAGCTTGGTGAGGAACTTTGAAGGACTTTGAGGCTGGTGGAAGGCTGGGCTTGACTTTTTTGCTTCCACATTCTAGGAGTCAAGTTGACCCAAGAGTCTGTGAAGGCCCTAACTATGAGAGTGCTAACTGGTGAAAGGAGAGAGGAAGGTCTCCCCAGATAAGGTCACATAAAGCTTGGTGAATGAATGAGTACCCAGTGTCCAGCTGAGCTATGCAGAGAGGCGTGATTCTTCTTCGACCATCTGCTGTCCGAGTCTCAACTTGTTTCTTCAAAAGATTCTGGCAAAGTAGAGTTATATAAATGAATGGAAAAGTCTCTGCCAATTATCTCCAAATATCAAAAAATAAAGTTGCTTATTTTTTTTCTTTTTGTGATAAGAACACTTAGCATAAGATCTACCCTCTTTGTAACATAGTACTGTTAATTGTAGGCATTATGCTATACAGTAGATCTCTAGGACCAAACAACTTAGACTTTGTACCCTTTGACTAATACCTCCCTGTTTCCCCTTCCCACAGGCCCTGGCACCCACCATTCTCCTCTCTGTTTTTGTGAGTTTGACTATTCTAGATTCCACATATCAGTGGTATATAGTATTGGTCTTTCCATGCCTGGCTTTTTAAAGTTGTAAACATTAAATTGTTGTAAACAATTTAATTTTAATGTTTAAATACATATAGCTTTTTATATGTCAGTTACACCTTTCTACAGTGGGTGAAAATAATAAGGCTTCTAAGAAAATGTATTCTAACTTCCCTTTTTACAGTTTTTTTTTTTTTTTTTGTACAAAATTAAACCAGTTAGTTAATCAAAGAATAGGCATTTTTTATCAAGGTATGTACTTGACTTCAGGCACAGTAGAGAAGCAGACAAAAAGCACCCAGTTAAAACAGCTCCAAGCACCTATCTATCATCAGCACCACATGTGGTACTGTGACCAAATCCCAGGACTGTAAGCACATGCCAGGCTGGACAACATCTGACAGCTCTGGGGTTCCGTGAGGAAACTAAAGGACTGAAACTGAATCTGTGGGCACACTCTCATCATTAAGCTGGTGATTTTCAAACTGACTTTTTCCATAGAGTCCCTTCTTTTGTGAAAGGTTTTTATTTATACACTCTGTCTGAATTACCTAGGGGAGGTCTTTCAACCCACAAAAGCTCCTGGAGATGGTTTAAATTCTAGGGTAAGCTCAACATTTCCTACTCTACTCTTATCCCATTTCTAATCCCCTGCTCCTACCAGTGAAATGTAGGTATTTCCAAATTAAGATGGGGAAACCACAAGTTTCCTAAGGGCAGAGCCTAAAACACACTGTTCTCAGTATGTAGAAATTCCTAGAAATATGATCAGGTGAAGGTTTGGTAAGAGATGAACTGTAGGGCTCCCTGGTACAAGGCAACTTTGGAAAAAGGTGCTTTAAGCCCCATTATTGTCTTATGCAGGTTCAGGTACTAGGACCAACTGGCCCCATGCAGGTTAACTATGGATCCTGCACCAGGCTCAGTACCTTCTTCACCTCATTCATGACTATGGTCACATCTTTGTGCCCTATCCAAGCTGTACCTGCCTGTTCCCTTTTCCTTGTCCCCTGGGTATATAATCCTGGGTTAAGCCCTCACCTTCCTAATATCTTCCAGACTCTCCCCGTTGACAACACCCGCGACTGAGGATGCTGAGCCCATCTCTCTGGCTGCGGCACTCTTCTGGTCTAACTGCTGCTGTTGCTGCCTCCGTTGGTACTTGAGCATCTCTGGGTTCTCGATGACAGCTGTGGAGAGCTGGGCCTCAGTCATGATGGCCAGGCTCTTGCCATAGGTGGACTGGTGAATGCGGCTCTGTGGAAAGCAGGGAAAGGTTCTATACACTGGTATATCACTATGGTTAATGCTGCCCATCATGAGTGCACTGAGGCACAGGTTTTCCTGGCTCTGAAAGCAAAAAGGCTGGGAGGCTAGCTCTCCATCACCTCCCACCCAATTCTACCTGTCCCTCATTAGACAGCTCTGATGGAAGTCTCAGATCGTCACTAGATGTTTACAGACTACTATGTATCTATTGCAGGGGATGATGGTGAATACTGACAAGAAAATTCATGGTGTAAAACAAATAGCAATAAATACCACCTCAATTGGTGCAGATAACCAAACTGCTAACTCAAGGTTCTTAAGTAACTCAAAGCACCTAAATATTCTCAGGGTACCAGATACTGAAAGCAAGAGTCTACTTTCACTGCTCTTATCAGATGGCAGCCACCATGGTGGGATAGTTTCCACGGGACAAACAGTGTCTCTAAGAGCAAGGAAGATTGGCACATCAGACCTAGGGAGACCCTTCTCTGCTCTCCCATGGTCTCTCTCTTCTTCTCTGCTCTCCCTTGGTCTCTCCCTTAAGATGCCCGGATCCTTCTGAGCAGGATCCTTTCCCATCCTCCTAGGCCCCATTAATTCTGTGCCATAACAAGCTAAATAGCAACCCCAAGAGAAAAGACAGTGTCCCCAGCATATTGTAGTAACTGGTACTCATGAAAGTGTGATGAGGAACAGATTAACACAAAGATGTGCAAATGACCAGACCTATCTTGCCAAGAACAGGGCAAGAACAGTTAATAGGCATGCTTCACAGCAGAGGATGCTGGGAAGGAGGAGACAACTTTCCAGGAGAGGGGCTTTGGAACTTAATCCTGCCAGGCTTAGGTATAGCCAAGAAGCTTCCTCCTTTGACAGCTTGGCTCCTAAACAGCCCCTGGAATCTCAGCCAGAATTCAGAGTTTGGTCAAAATTTTCCTCGTGTAGTAACACAAGGTCACTGCTGATGATAACCCTAGCCAGATAGGGTTATTACATAGGCTTTCATAGTGATTCTCCAAGGAAGTATGCAGTGATCCCTGGGTACCTGATGACAGAGACAAGGTGGAATGAGGATCCCTGGCCACTGAGACACTCATTTCTTCATTGAAAAATGATTGCCAGATACTGTGCACAAGGCATATCTCTGCCCCAAAGGGTTTACTCTTAGCAGGTGTCACACAGCCAGTTAAGAGGGAGCTTCCCCCAGCAATAGGATCACTACAGAGAGAGATGCTGACCTACTCTGGGTTTTCAGAAGCCCTACATCTGAGTAAATGTTGGCAAATGTCTACTGATAGAAACCAAAGATTCCTAAGTCTATTGGTGGGTAAAGCAGAGTCTTTTTTAAAGCCTGGCAGAAGGATACACAGATGCCATGTTTCAGGCAGAGCACAAAAGAAGAGACTTGGCCCAAAGGCAGCAAGCCTAGTTCATGCTTTAGTTCTTGTACTTAAGGTTCACATGTGGTCACGGCAAAGGGCCATGCTATTTTCTAAGGCTTAGTTTCCTCATTGATGTAACAGATAAGGGTTGCCTTCAAGGATTTTGAATAGTTTAAATAATACATGCAAAGTACATGACCCAAAGTCTGACATTCAGTAAACGTTAAGAAATGTCCAATATTACTATTATAATTGCTGTTAAGTCAGTATAAGACAATGAGATGGGAAAAGTGACATACAGGGACCCCTTGGGAGTCACTCCAGCTCTCTCCCAGGGTGAAAATCTCCCACTGGTGGCTTGTTAATAGCATAAAAAATGGTCTCAAAGTTTTATTCTTAATTCCAGGACTTGTTTCTGACATGAATAGAGAATTATTAATTTATTTTTCAAAGAAGATAAGAATTACAATTTACAAAAGGCAAAGACCCTCTAATACTTAAAGAAATACCAATTCAGAAGAAGGTCCAATCAAATTGGTCTCCCAGAGTTATTGTGGCTATTTCTGTGGTCACGGAACATGTAAAAGTACAAGGACCTACCTTTTCCTCCTCACTGAGGGGGTCTCCAAGCTCATCCTGGGAGAAGTCGAGGAATGCCACAGAGCCATCCATGGAGCACACCAGGATGCCCAGCCCATTCAGAGTCCTGAAAGAGACAGCTGTCAACAGCCTGTGGACAAGTACCTGAGGCAGACAGAAATGCCACAATAGCCAGCCTGTGAGGATGGCTGAATAGTAATCTAGGTAGTTGCTGGAAACCCATGGTTCCCTTCTGAAGCTTGAAGATGGGATAGAGAAAGTGAAGCAATAATCACATTCCAGAGGGTCCCTGGTACCCTTCAGTTTTAGGCACATGTAAAATGCATCTCTTACCATGAATTTTGTAAAAATTTTCAACTTATTTCTTATTTTTTAAACCATTTACATAATATCTTAAGGAAGTATGTCTACTATAAAACTATGTGGATAACAGTTTTTCTGAGAAGGCATTTTTCTTTGGCATATCCTACCTTATAATATTGCATATTCTCACAATATCAGGCATAGAACTACTACTATTTCCTGAATCATGTATGAGTAGAACCTTGGGGGGTCTGTGCTGCCTTAGGAGGATGCTTTGGTTGCCTGGCCTTAGTCATATCCAGGAGATCTCAGATTTTTCATAGTTTATATACCTTAAGAATCCACCTTACCAGGAAATATCCATGATGGATTTGTCAAACAGCTCATGAATGACAACCAAAGGCCGTTTCAGACACGTGAGCTGCAAAATAAGGAGCAAAGGTTAATGGAATTGAGAACCCCTTTTTGTGTACTCAGCTCAGTTAATACTACCAGCCCAGAAGTCTTGGTCAGAATTTCTGCTGACATACATAGTATTCAACTCCATCCAGACAGCTACTGTGGGAAACGAAAGTCTTCCAGAAATATGTACACTATAGTGGTCCCATCTCAAGGCTTGCCATACTCTGGCAAGGCAGATGGCTTTATATATACAGGGCAGAGTGGAAGGGAATCATTCCAAGGAGGAGCTTAGAGGTTTTACCAAGCAGGGGATGAGGCTCAAAAAGAGCCCAGCTCATTTTCTCTGGGCCCATAAAGCTCTTGTACACATTACCCAAGGCATGGTGTAATCAGTTATCTTAAGTCATACAGGCTTACTCTGTAGTGTGTACAGATACCTGGTAAATACACAAAACTGTACAAATTGCCTTTAATCTAGACCCAAAGTTAATTATTGTAAAAATTGTTTTTTATACTGAGGATGGAACCCAAGTGTGCTTTATCATTAAGTTACATCCTCAGTCCTTAATTTTTGAGACAGTCTTGCTAAGTTGTTTACGGCCTTACGAAGTTGTTGAGACTGGCCTTGAACTTTCAATTCTCCTGCCTTAGCTTCCTGAGTCACTGGGATTACTTTGATGAACTATTTTGTTATGGTTTAACTTTTCCAAGTATTTATTTTTCTCTTAGAAATAAGGCACATAGTGTGTCTGCTTTTTTACTTAATGCACAGTGAGTATGTCATTGAATATCCTGTAAAAATATTGTTTGGATGACTACATAATAATCAGCATGTTCATGTTCACTATCTAGTCCTCTTTTGTTGACTGTTCTACAACTATGGTGAACTCCATCTCTTACATACAAGTGTCTGGCTACCCTGTTGCCGTGTCCTAAGCTACAGCGTCAGGGTTACCAGCACCCCAAGAGTTAATTCCTGCTTGGGGGTGTGAACTGGCTGGGAAAATAAAAAGCCTGAAAATAATCGATAAGGAACGAAAAACAAGAGGCAGAAAATAGTTTTAAGTGCTGGGGCCTGGTGGGTCTTCCAGCCCTGATGGGAACCAGAACTGAAAAAGGAAAAAGGCCCAAATTCTTTATTTAAGGGGAAATACATTAAAAGGTTTCAGTGAGGTAGGCTTCTTGAGGAAAACAGGATGAAGTTGGGAAAAATAAGTTGTTTGGGGCTAGGGAGGTTACCTCCAGGGGCTGCCTTTGAACCTAGGGCTGTGACCTAAGGTAGGGTGTCAGCTTTAATCTCAGCAATCTGCAACCAGTGGATTCACAACAGGAGTTCTCAAAAACGCAACCCCCTGCCTTATGATGGCTCAAACAAACCCATAATTCATACACAGCTTCCAACACTGCAAGATTGTGGGTTGAATGGGAACACACTTCTTTACAGATAATGGGCTCTGTCCTGGAGTTTCCAGGAGGCTGTGATGCTAAGCTTTACACTTAGAGCCTAAGATTGATGTGTGGTGAAGGAGGAGCTGTGCTCACTTAAGTCCGGGGAGGAAGCTCAAGTCTGAGCTACCTAATATCTACATTAAGAATCTTGTCCTCACCCTAATTCTAATTCCACAAAAATAATAGCTTTGCCTCTCTTTCCATAAATGTACCTAAGTACCCTAGAAACCTGGAGCCTGTGTGACCACCTGATCTTGGCATTCTAAGAAACATGAGCAGTACCATGAATGGTCCATGGGATGGGATAAACCAGGAAAAACACATCTTGAACTGGTCCCTGTGACACTAGGGTTCAGGTTCTAGGGTGGGTGTTAAATGAATACAGAATAGAAGGTCTCTGAGGAAAAATAAAGTCAGGCATGGTGGCACAGGTGTCATCCCAGTGACTCAGGCAGCAGGACAATCAAGTTTGAGGTTAGCCTCAGCAATTTAGTGCCGCAAAATAAAAACTAAAAAGCACTAGGGATATAGTTTAGTAGCAAAGCACCCCTAGGTTCAATAGATTTTTTTATAATAAATCTAGCCAGAAGATAACCTTCAAACCCATAACTTCAATTCCATTCTGTTTATGGAGAAGTTTAAAAAAAATTATTGTATGTACATCTGGCTTTATCAGATTTTTAAAAAAAATTTATGTTTTAGTTGTAGTTAAACATAACGCCTTTATTTTATTTATTTATATGTGGTATTGAGGGTCAAACCCAGGGCCTTGTACCTGCTAGGCGAGCACTTTTACTGCTGAGCCACAACCCCAGCCCACCTGGCTTTATTAGATTTTAAACCCAAGAGGGTTCAAGGAGGGACCTCAGGGCTCAGTGACACGGCCATGTCTTCTGCACTGCAAGTGAAAATGTCTCATGTCATAAAACATCAGCCTTAGCTCAGCACAGTGGCACATAGCTATAATCTCAGTGGCTCAGGAGGCAGAGGCAGGAGGATCGTGAGTTCAAAGCCAGCCTCAGCAAAAGCGAGGCACTAAACAACTCAGTGAGACCTTGTCTCTAAATAAAAAACAAAATAGGGCTGGGATGTGGCTCAGCGGTCGAGTGCTACTTGCGTTCAATGCCCGGTACACTCCCTGACACCCCCAAAATCATCAGCCTTTGAGCTAAGGAACTTAATACCCTTTCAGAGCTCTAACTTGAAAACTATCACAGTTTTATTCTTCAATTCTCATGTCTCAACCCGTCACTGAATATTTGCTGAGAATCTGCTTGGTGGAGGGCAGTAAGTTAGGAGCAGAAGGGGCATAGCACCTCCTCTTTGGGGTTGCTGTCTAGTAAGGAGTCATATGCTTAGCTTTAACAGAAACTGCCAAACACTTTCCTCACCAGTAATGTATTACTTCCAGCTAACCATATCATTGTCAATACTTGGTACTCTCTCTTTTGTTTTGGGTCCTGGGAATTGAACACAGGATTTTACTGAGCTACAACTGCAGCCCCGCTCTTTTTGTTAAATTTTAGTCATTTTCCTCCTAAGTATGTATTCAAAAAGACTTATTCAAGAATATTCTTTTCAGCTTTTGGTCATAACATCTCACAACTGGGACAATCTTAATATCCATCAAAAGGAAAATGCATTAAACAAATTGTGATATGTTCATACAGTGGAAGATTACATAAGCAATAACAGGAATAAACTATTGTCAGACATACACAACACACATGAATCTCAAAAACATTATGCCAAGGGAAAGAAACACAAGACACAAAAAGTAAACACTGCACAACTGATTTATATGACGTTCAAGAGCAGGTAAAACTCATCAAAATGAAAAGAGGCTGCTAAGGATGATTATCTTGGGGGTGGAGGGAGGATGGCTTCTTAATTGGTCAAGATCCCACCCTCCCTCTACCCGCACCAAGGTGGTAGTGATACTGGTGTAAACGTGCACGATAGTTCACTTAACTGTATCTACAAAACTGAATATGCTTCACATGTACTATATGTCAATACAAAGCAAGCAAATACACTACGCCAACTATAGTACTAACTGCTCTGGGTGCTGCCCCCCAGTCTAGATACAAGATCTGCTCTAGCTGGGGATTCAGCAGCCTTTTCTGGCTGTGTCAGTACTTCCTTCTATGCAGTAGGAAAGCCTGCAGATTTCTAGGAGGAGGGGCTGATCCCAGGTACACAGTGAAGTACATACTGAACATCATCAATAGCAGTGGGTCTCTCCTCCCTTCAAGGCTTCCAAGCTTGCCACTTTCCCAGTCCACACCTCCCACCCTACAGCAAAAGCTCAGTGTGGTGGCTCACCCAGACAGAGAGTGAGCGATCCTTGCTGCCAACAGCACAGCAGCAGTAAGGGCAGCTGGGCTTTGCAGAACTCCCATTCTTCTGTTTCTTTTTGAAGATTTTTGGGTTGAATTTCTAAAACCAAGTAACACATGTTAAAATGGTAATCATGCATCAAGTATATACCTCATGCCTAAGCATGAGAAACACACTGAAATCCCAAGCCACTGATAGGAGTTCCTCACAGAGCTTCTAGGCCCAGTACTGAGCATGCATTAGATAATTTTTATAACTACCTAGGAGGTATTTTGCTGATGGTGCACTGGAGACTTAGTGATGTCAGAAAACATGCAGAGTAACTAAATGAGTAAATGGTGGAATGAGGACTTGAAGTTAGTATTCCTAAATGCTCGATTTTTGGAGTTAGAAGCCAAGTCAAAGAGATGGGAGCTACTAGAACTGGTCCTATCAATTCCTCCTGGCTTGTCAGTTTCCTAGGACCTGGGGGAGAAGCTAAGCCTGCAAGGGGCTTCAGGGACCAGGACTTGCTTACTCTCCATCTCCTATGGGAGGCCAAAGGGACTGGCAGGAGAGAACTGATCCATGTAATTCCCTTTCATCTCAATATCTTTGTTGTCCACAGTCATACTTATCTAGCAGAAATGTGTTCAGCCAGGACTGGGGTTGTAGCTCAGCAGTAGAGCTCTCGCCTAGCACGTGCAAGGCCCTGAGTTTGATCCTTAGCACCACATAAAAATAAATAAACACAGATATTGATTCCAACTACAACTAAAAAAATAAATAAAAATAAATATTTTTTTAAAAAAGAAATGTGTTCAGCCAAAGAGGCTCATAAGATCTCCCAGGGGCCAGGCACAGTGGCACATGCCTGTAATCCTAGCAGTTTGGGAGTCTGAGACAGGAGGATCTTGAGTTCAAAGTCAGCCTCAGCAAAAGTGAGGCACTAAGCAACTCAATGAGACCGACTCTGAATAAAAATAATCAAAATAGGGCTGGGGATGTGGTTCAGTGTTTTAGTGCCCAAGTTCAATCCCTGATATCCCTCCATCCCCCAAAAAAGCCAATCTGAAAAAGCTACATGCTGTATAAATATGACACTCTGGGAAAGGCAAAACTGTGGACCTTTATTTTTTATTTTTAGTTGTTCAAAACATTACATAGTTCTTGACATATCATATTTCATACATTTGATTCAAGTGGCTATTTATTTATATGCAGTGCTGAGAACTTAACATACTATGCTAACTATAGTACTAACTGCATGTTTTCTCACCTCACTGAACTTCCCAAGAACTGAACCCCCCCCGCCCGCAAAAAAAACCCAAATAAATAAGTAAAAACAAACAAACAAACAAAAAACAAAAACAAAAAACCTCTCAGGGTAAGCTGGTTGCCTTTTGGAAAGGCTGTAAGCACCCTAAGACTGTTCTGGATTAAGAGGTGGGCAGGAGTTCCTGGAATTCCAAGTGAGGGCTTCTAAGTGCAGGGTCAGGTAACCTAGAGGGGTTTTCACTCCAGGGGACAGGCAGGAATGGCCAGGGTTATACAGAAATTGGAAAAAACAGAATCCTGGGCTTGAGTTTCCACTACTACTGGGTAGGCTGTAAAGCTACTCATTGAGTTTCTACTACTAATGAGTGGGCTTTATAAAGCTTTGTGAAGCTCTGTGAGCTTCCTATGAGGCATATATTATTTTCTCACAGAGCTGCTCTTAAAGTGACCATGAGAATCACAAGCAATGATTTTCAAACATTTTAGGAACAAGGCCCTTAGTTTCAAATAAAATCCAACATAGACTACAAGATAAAAATTTTGAGGAAGCAATATTTAACTACTATAAAATTTATTTTTTGAAGTACAATATATGATATCTACTTTTCAATTTAAACAAGTAATGATGAGCCCCTTTTGATCACGTTCCCAAATGATCTTACTCTGTCATCAGCCCAAACCCATCAATCTATTTATCTTGTTTGATTGCAAATTCTCAAAGGTTATTTGTAGCTACTTAACAGCTGGCCTTGGTTAATCTTAAGACACTCTTCAATTAAAGTGATCCATAGGGATTAATGGTCTCTCATGCCTGAAAGATTAGCAGTAGTTATCTGGAGACCTTCACCCTCCACATCAAGACCAGATGTGCAAACCAGTGACCACCAGCATAAGCTTGCACCTATGACTACTGCTGAAGGAAATGGAGATAAGAGCACTGTTTTGGGGGGTACCCAGAATCACTCTATGTTCAATGGAGTTACACAAGGGGGCACCATGCTGGAGCACCTGAGAGCAGACCTGAATATGGAAAACGTTGGTGTGGAATTACATTGTTCTAACCAAAGACTGATCTGGTGATATTTGCTATATTACAATTTGCATAAACAACCAACAAAAAAATCCATAGGTATTATATTTTGTAAAAGTAGTTTTAAAATATTTAAGTGTAAAGAATTTAAAATGAAGTAAACACCAACATATGCTGACTCTGAGTCCCATCACCTCAGTCCCTTGTGTGGCCCAGTCTTTAGGAGCCTCCCTGAACAGCTTTCTACCCCTCAGGCTCTGAGGACACATGTAAACCACTGTAGTAGAAGGTACTGACAGCTGCTGGGACTTCATAAGGCCAGGCACACTCACCACAACAGTTACAGCTTTCCGGTGTCCCACAAAGTCCATGTTGGTCTTCCAGCCCTCCCGTTCGATGATCTGGGCAGTGGGGCCAGAATTGTTCATTGCATGGGCAGACACAAGGTAATGCCCATCAGGTGACCAGCTGAGCCGCAGTACATGGGTCGTTCCTCCACACTGAAAGAAATAACTTTGCTTGAAAGGAGCTTAAAGTCAACTTTGTGACCAAAACTTGGGCCTCAAAGACAAAGTCAAACTGTGATTTACTAAGATATGATGATAGGGCATGAACCCCAAACTTCTGACTACACTGAGAGTTGTCAACCAGATGACACAACAAAAAGGGATCTCTGTCACATGAGCATGGGAACTGTGATATCTTCTACACTCCCATAGGACTGAACACAGAACAGCAGCACGGTGGGTATATGCTTGTGGGAATCAGCAGGAAGGCCAGTCCTTTGAAATGCCCAACTCCACATTCACCTACTGCTTCTGCACAGCACTGTTAATCCCAGCACACAGAGTCTATGAAACATCCTCAAGAAATGCTGCCACAGAGGCCTTCAACAAAATTCAGCACCCATTCATGATAAAAACACTAAAGAAACTAGGGAATCGAAGGAACCTACCTCAAGATCAAAAAGAATATATATGAAAAACCCAAAGCTAATCTCATAGTAAATGGGGAAAAACTGAAAATGTTTCCTTTAAAATCTGGAACAGAGAAAGATGTCCACTTTCACCACTCCAATTTAAGACAGTGCTTCAAATTTTAGCCAGATCAGTTAGGCAGGAAAAGAAATAAAGGGATAAAAATAGGAAAGGAAGAAGTTAAATTATCACTGCTTGCAGATGATATGATCCTGTATCTGTAAAAAACTCCATCAAAAGATTGTTAGAGCTAATAAACAAATCTGGCAAAGTAATAGCCTACAAAATCAACATACCAAAATCAATAGCTTTCATATACACCAACAATGAATCTGCTGAGAAAGAAATCAGGAAAACAATCCCATTTACCATAGTCTCAAAACAAAACAAAACACAACAAATACCCCAAAACAAAACCTAGGAATAAATCTAACCAAGAAGATGAAAAACCTCTACAATGAAAACTATAGAACATTGAAAAAGAAATTGAAGAAGACATAAAAGATAGACACAAAAAGACCTCCCACATTCATGGATGGACAGAATCAATTTTGTTAAAATGGCCATGCCACCAAAGCAATATACTGATTCAATGCAATCCCCTCAAAATACCAATGACACTCTTCACAGAACTAGAAAAAATAGTCAGAAAATTCATCTGGAAGCATAAAAGACACAGAATAGCCAAAGCAATTCTAAGCCAAGAAAGCAATGCTGGAGACATCACAATAACTGACTTCAAACTATATTACAGAGTTATAGTAACAAAAACTACATGGTACTGGCATAAAACAGACATAGACCAATGGTACGGAACAGAAAACACAGAGACAAACCCAAACATCTACAGACATATGAACCTTGACAAAGGTGCCAAAAACATACACTGGAGAGCCTTTTTAACAAATAATACTGAGACAATAGGTTATCCATATGTAGGAGAATGAAACTAGATCCATATCTCTCATCCTGCACAAAATTCTATTAAAAATGGACAAAGATCTTGTAATTAGACCAAAAACTATGTAACTCCTAGAAGAAAGTATAGGGTCAGTACTCTAACATACAGGCACAGGCAACAACTTTTTTCAACAGAACCCCTAAAGCTCAGGAAATAATGCCAAGAGTGAATAAATGAGATGACATCCAATTAAAAAGCTTCTGCACGGTAAAGGAAATAATTAGGACTATGAAGAAAGAACTTATAGAGTGGGAGAAAATCTTTGCTAGTTACTCTCTTGACAGAGGATTAATATCTAGAATATACAAAAACTCAAAAACCCCAAATAAACCAATTAATAAATGGACAATGAATTAAATAGATACTTCTCAAAAGAAGAAATATAGCCAGGTACAGTGGCACATGCCTATAATCCCAGCAGCTCAGGAGGCTGAGTCAGGAGGATCAAGAGTTCAAAGCCAGCCTCAGCAATGGCAAGGTGCTTAGTAACTTAAGTGAGACCCTGTCTCTAAATAAAATGCAAAATAGGGCTGGGGATGTGGCTCAGTGATTGAGTGCACCTGAGTTCAATCCCAGGTAACAAAAAAAAAAAAAGAAATATAATGGCCATATATATGAAAATGGCCATATATGAAAAAAATGGCCATATTTTTAGCATTTAGCATTTAGGGAAATGCAAATAAAAACTAAACTGAGATTTCATCTCACACCAGTTAGAATGGCAGTCATCAAGAATACAAACAATAAAACACTTTTTGCACTGTTGGTGGGACTGTAAATTAGTACATCATACTGCTATGTACATACTGCTATGTACATCAGTATGAAGGTTTCTCAAAAGGCCAGGCATGGAACCACCATATGATGCAGTTATACCACACTTCAGTATTTATCCTAAGGAACCGAAGTCATCATACTATAGTAATATATGCATACCCATGTTTATAGCAGCACATTCACAATAGCCAAACTATGGAACCAGTCTAGGTGTCCCTCAATGGATGAAAAAGAAAATATGGTATATATACATAACGGAGTTTTATTCAGCCATAAAGAAAATGAAATTGTGGGCTGGGGATGTGGCTCAAGTGGTAGCGCGCTCGCCTGGCATGCGTGCGGCCCGGGTTCGATCCTCAGCACCACATACAAATAAAGATGTTGTGTCCGCCGAAAACTAAAAAATAAATATTAAAAAATTCTCTCTCTCTCTCTCACTCTCTAAAAAAAAAAAAAAGAAAAAAAGAAAATGAAATTGTGTCATTTTCAGGAAAAAGGATGGAACTGGAGATCATCACGTTAAGTGAAATAAGTCAAACTCAGAAAGTCAAAGGTCGCATGTTTTCTTTCATATGTGGAAGCCAGTAAGGAAAAAGGAAAACAAGGTGGGGATGAATCTAAAAATCAAAGGGAGATTAGTAGTGGAAAGCGATCAAGTGGTGGGAGAGGGGAAGTGCTGGGGAGTGATACTGGCCAAATTATATTGCTATACTGTGTGCATGCACAAATATGTAACAACAAATTCCATCAAACTGTACAACTATAATGCAACAATAAAAAATATGGGGGGTGGGCAAGAAAGAAAAGAAATGCTGCCATAGAGAAAGTTCCCTTGCTTATATCTGGGAGTTCAGGAGGAGTCTAGAGTGGAACAGATGACCATGAGATACCACCTGCTTCTTTGAGCCTGACTCCTCACCCAAGGAATGGTGAGGATATCTGCAAAGAACAGGTCTGTAAAGTCCTCATGAACTGTAAAAGGCACAGAAGCAAAGGTACTGCTCCCCTGACTTGGCATGATGGTTAAGGCAACACACCCCTCACTTTATTCATCCTGCAAAGTGAGATGTGAGTCCAAAGCCAACTTCAAGGTCAGCATGGGCTACCCCTAAAGATTTAGGGGCTAACATCTTGACCTCATGGCACAGAGAAGGGTAAAACAAAGCAGGGCCTAAGTGCAATGAAATCACCTGCCTCAGAACCCTGTGTAGGATGACCCCCAGCAGAGGTTGAAGGGTACTACTAGTTCCTCCTAGTACTCAAAATTATCCTGTAGCTGGATGCAGTGGTGGTATGCCTGTAATCCCAGCAGGTCTGGAGGCTGAGGTAGAAGGTTCGTGAATTCAAAGGCAGCCTCAGCAACTTAGTGAGGTTCTAAGCAACTTAGTGAAACCCATGTCTCAAAATAAAAAATAAAAAGGGCTAGTGGCTGTGGCTACATGGTTAAGAACCCCTGGGTTCAATTTCTGGTACCCAAAAAAAAAAAAAAAAAAAAAAAAAGAGTCTCCTGCAGCTGCCCCAGGAGCCTGGCAGCAGAATCCTGAGATACTAAAGGTGTGAGAACCACATCACCTGAACTAAGAAGCTGTAGGAAATGGATATAGGACTAAGTCTAGTAGGTTTTGACTGGAGAAAACTGAATTCCTGATTTCCACTTTCTTTCTACAGCCAGCCCTTACCAGTGGGCAAATGTTTATTCTTCCAGCAAATCTTCACTCCTGTGTTCCTTTGCTCTGAGAAGCCTTCCCTGATGCAATCACCCAACCTGGGCCATTACAGCACACAGTAGACAATGATATCATCATTAACACACAGAAATGTCTGTCTTCATGTGAAGACATGTGCTCACAGGTATCAGCAGGGCACTTTCTCTGTGACATGCTCTCTAGAGCACACTCTGTAGATAATGTGCTAGGGTTAACAGATATGTTCAACATCACTAGCAATTAAGAGAAATGCAAATTAAAACTACGCTGAGATTTTATAATTGCCAGTTAGAATGGCAATTATCAAGAATATAAATAACAATAAATGTTGGTCAGGTTGTCAGGGTTTGAAAAAAGTACACTATACATTGCTGGTGGGACTGCAAATTGGCACAATTACTCTGGAAAGCAGTATGGAGATTCTTCAGAAAACTTGGAATGGAACCACCATTTGACCCACTTACCCCACTCCTCAGCCTATATCCAAAGGACTTAAAAATCAGCATACTAGAGTGACATGTCCACATCAATGTTTGTAGCAGTTCAATTCACAATAGCTAAGCTATGAACCAACCTAGGTGCCCTTCAACGGAGGAATGGGTAAAGAAAATTTGGTAAATATACACAATGGAATATAACTCAGACATAAAGGAGAATGAAATTATGGCATTTGCCAGTAAATGGATGGAACTAGAGACTATCATGCTAAGTGAAAAAAGCCACTCCCAAAAAACCAAAGGACAAATGTTCTCTCTGATAGATAGTGACTCACAAGGTGGGGGCAGTTCACTGGATTGAACAGGGAGGAGTAAGGGGGAAGGGAAGGAGGACAGGAATGGGAAAGACAGTAGAATAAATTAGACATAACTTTCCTATGTTCATATATGAATATACCACCAGTGTAACTCCACATCATATAAAAATAACAAAAATGGGAAGTAATACTCCATGTATGTATGATATGTCAAAATACATTCTACTGTCATATATAACTAAAAAAAACCAAAAAAACAAAAAAACAAAAAAAACAGGTGCTATGCCGAAGAGCTGTAAATGTCCATGGGAGAGATTCCATCTCAATCTACTTTTATTTCCCCACACCCAGTATTGCTTTAAATACAGAAGCCACTTCATAAATGTCTAAAGAATAATAGTGATTTTGAGCTGATTCCATATGAAATCAGAACTCAAGGAAGAGAGAGTAAAATACCACAGAAGCCACTGCAGTCTGTTCTCTAGTTGTTTTGCAAACTGAACTGCTAAATCTGCACACAAAAAAATTTGACTGAGCAGATGTCAATGAGCACAAGTCACAAACACGGCCAGGAACCATTCAAAACAGTCTCTTCCATGTTCTCCTCATATCAACAAGCCACTCGGTAGGGTGGCTCAATGTAAACTTCCCACAATGGCATGAGTTGGGTGATACAGTGCTGCAGGAATAGATCTAAGGTTCTCTTCAGCTTTAAAATTTATAAATTATTTTCAATTCAAAGCTGGACATTAAATGCCTTCCCATAAAGGAAAGACTTTTATCATACAACTCTCAGGGCCTACCCTACAGAAAGCTGACTGGCCTGCTAAAGCCCCATACTCTGTGCATTCACCTACATGGTCTGGATCATGGTCAGGTTCCTCTCTCATTGGTCAGACAGGTACTGGGGCCAAACCCTGGGCCTCCTCAGTTACCTCATCAAAAGGTTTGGTGATGCTGGTCTCTAACTGCCAGTCCAGGGTCCTCCACACCTTCAGACTGCGGTCATCAGCTTGAGAGGCAATGTATTTACCAACGGGGTCCCATGTTAACCCTTTCACCAAGCCAGAATGACCTCTAAGAGTAGCAAGAATTTCTGTGAAGAAAAAAAAAAAAAAAAACCAGAAGAAATTTATACAGGCATTAACTCAATGAAAAACAGTAACTCTATATATAAAATACATGAGCCATAGTGGGTCATGGAAAAGAAATCCAAGAGAAGGGACTTAAGCCCACCTGGGCACAAGCAAAAGAGCCACCTAGGTTGATCTCCACCAAAGCAAATAAAGAGATTACTGCATCAAGGACGCAGATACCATGGATTCCATTCAGCCACAGCTAATACTCTCAGTGGGGTCACACATGTCCCCAGAATGATAGGCAATAAGAGATCTAGGCCTGGGCCAGAGCTGCCAATTCTGCTCCCACATCTTGTCTGCAGCCAGCAGTATAGCCCAGGGCTGCCATTCATGGACAAAAGTCTATGCCAAGTTGGGCTATGACTTGAGTATTTCTGATGTGAGCAGCCCTAGTAAGTAGCCCTAATAGACAGAGGCTGAGCAATTTAGGGGTTTGGGCCCTGGGCTAAAATCATTAAGTAAGACAAAGAATTGCACAATAGTACCTCCTACAGATCTGTAATCCAAATGCTGTACCAGTCTCTAAAACCCCCTCTGTGGTCAGACTTAATGTCGCCACACATGTCGGTGGTGAATTTTAAAGAAAACTGAAATGACTTGGATCCATGTCCATGGATGATAGATTTTGGCCCATGAGGAAAACATATTCCAGATACTAAGTGGGAATATAAATATTTTATTAATTATAAACTTTAACACTAGGCCAGGTTATGCCATCTCTTATGACTTTAAGCACCATGAATAGGAAAAGTTCATTTTTTGCACAATAGGGTTTGTGTTAGCCAGCATCTGCTCAAGGGCTTCAAAGGAGATAGCAATTAAGCTGAGGCCATAGCCTAGAAGAGGGACACAAAGCATGTGTGGGAGTTGAGGGTCCTCAACATTAATGCCAGCACTCAGTTACTCTTTTTCTTTAGCATAAATTTCTTTTTAAATATTAAACAAACGTAATTGATAAAGAAAAAAAGACCTGGTTTACTGAAGAGACACAAATCCCAGGCTACTATGATACACTTGCTGCCACCAAGATTAAGGAGACAGAGCCCACTTCCCAACCCCACTCTAGTCACCAACAGGCAGGACTTCTGGGAGCAGCCCATTTCTGCCATCAACCAGCAGGGAAAATCCCAGACCTGGAAATTTCACGGCATTCCAGATGACGACAGTGTTATCCACGCTGCATGAGGCTAGCCAGGCATCATGGGGAGACCATGCTACATCCATTACATCTAGAAGAAGACAGGGGGCTTGTGGTGAGATCTCTTACCTGGAATGCACTTGGGTAAGGGTAGGCACTCAGCAGCAGCCTTTTCTGCAGGCTGGGCTGATTGTTCCTGGGATTTTCATGTCTGAGGACATATGACCTGGGACCATCAGAACTAGAAACTTTATAAAAAACCAACATGAAAAAATTCCCCACTAAGGATATTTAATTGGTTATAAAGTTTAAAGCACCTAATTGACCAAAATGCCCACTCCTTTTACAGACAAAGCAACAAGGCATAGCTGAGAGCTTGGGTGCCATGGGGTATCACAATCATATATTAGAACCACAATCTGACACTTCCTGGGTCTGTGGTCTTTGGGGCCTCCTCCTCAACTAATTTGTATCTTTACTTATAACCGGACCTTCCTCAGAGAGCATTCTGAGTTCAAAACAAGACATGGTAGGGAAAGCACTTAGCAGACTTCCTGGCACATAGTGAGATCAAGAGCTGCTGACTATCTGAATGAAGTTATCTTTAGGCCCTGCTATTCTCATGACTTGGATCTCACCTCTGGTGCCAGGAACATGTCTTTCTTATGGAGTTCCCAGAAAGAATCAAGCATCACATTAATGCTCATTTCTTTGTGACTCAGTTTTTTCACCTGTAACGTGTGGATTAAGCAAACAACAAACCTACTCTCATAGGATTATTTTGAGGATTAAACATGACAATGCCATAGTAGAGCACCTGGCACACATCATGGCATCAATAAAGGTCAGGCATGATGGTGATGTCAACCACACCCATCTTGCTATCTAAATGTGAAGGCTTGGGATCTTACTTCCTTTTCTAACATTGGTGCCTCAGGAAGTCAATAGTTATTTAGTTCTTTCCCAAGAATTTTTTCAAAAAGAGGTATAAGCTAAATATTCAAAATTTGTATCAGACCTTAAAAAAATCTTTAATAGCAACTTAATGAAATTTTTTCACATTCCATTGTGTTCTGTGGATCACAATGTGTATGCATGCACTGATATGCTGCATTTCATATTCTAATCACCTAAGAGGACTTCACAACTTCTTTGGTTTTACTCTACATTCTATACCGTTGAGAACATTCATTACTATAAACAGACCTAAGTTATCACTGAAGAATAATTGGTTCCAGTTTTTCATGCTACCATGTACATGTGCCACTCTCCATACTCTAGATTATTTCTCTGAGACTGATATTCCAAAGTGGGAATCCTGGAAAGGATACCTGAAATCTTCAGGTCTGGATTCTCATAATACTGCAGAATGCTTTTCAAAGACCTCTGTGCCTTTATATTTCTATGAACAATGTCTGCTTCAAAATTCCCTGTTAAGAATAGGATTATGATTTTTCCTTCTAATTTATTAAGTGCCTTTTAAACTTTAGTTTTAATTTGATTATTAATGAAAGTAAGGCTTCTTTATGTCTGTCTACTATATAAAAAGTCTTTTTGAACTAATTTGATCACGTCTTGTGACTAATAGAAAATCTTTCTGTGCATTGGGTGTAACAAATATAAATGTAGTGTTTACAAAAATGAACAAGAATTTTCTCTAGGACTTTAAGAGTCCTGCAGATGCAAGCATATAAACACCAATATTTCACTGTAGTACACAAGTATAAGAGCGAGATGTAGTCGGATGGGAACCCAGAAAGGATATATGATTACATACAAAACATACATTAGCTACAAACTTCACCTATTCACCTTCCCATATTATCACAATTTTACATAGTAAAGTCTGTTATTCTCCTTTGTGATTTCTTCTATTTCCTATTAACCTTGAAAAATGTTCCCTCTGCTAGAGTTCTGATAAATATTCAATTCTACTTTCACCTGGTTTAATTATTTACAGTATTTATCTCTTTAAAATCTCAGATTTATTTTTGGTGTATGTGAAATTTAGTAAGGTTCTAAATGAATTTCTCCTCAATTACCAACTGCTTAATGGTTAGTATGTTACATGAGGGAAAATTTATCCCCCCGGCCTTTATTTTGGTAATGGGGATTGAACTCAGGGCACTCAACCACTGAGCCACATCCTCAGCCTTATTTATAAGAGACAGGGTCTAGTTGCTTAGCGCCTCGCCATTGCTGAGGCTGCCTTTGAACTAGCAATCCTCCTGTCTCAACCTCCTGAGCCACTGGGATTACAGGTATGTGCCACTGCGCCCAGTTCCCTTTTTGATAAGTGATGCCTCAGTGGCAATACTACAATTCCTTAGATATATTGTAGCCTCCTCCAGTTATTAGTTTTATCCAAAACCCATAATGTTTCTATCACTAAAACTTTGAAAGTTTTCATCGGAAACATCACTTATCTATCCAGTGGCTCTTCAAAGTCACTGTCCAGTTCTGCAGTAAATCCACATACATGGCAAAATTTTCTCTCTGAATTCCAGGTTTGGAGCTTCTGTCTCCAAATGGTATACCAAGCCCTTTCCTTCTGTGGACTGACAAAAATCCAAGACCCTTTATTCAATTTAAATTTTCGGTCACTATTCTCATCATATTTGTTAGGGATTCCAAGATGATGATTCTTCTAAGGCTAAACTCAAGGCTTTGGGTTCCTTAAACTTCTTGTTCTCTTTCAACAACCTTGGCTTCTACATTCATTTCTATGGTCATGCCCAGATGACAGATCACTGCAATTCCAACTCTCCCACACTCAAATAACCACCATGCTAAGATCCATTGAGGCTACATCCTTCCACTCTCTGCCACTCCTGTATACATACTCACCTTTCTCCTCTTCTGAGATCTCACTATCATTCCTCTTTTCCTTTTATGTCTTCATAGGTGCCTGACAAAACCCAGCCTGGTACAATGCAAACTTATCTTTCCCCAGTCTTTCTTGAACACCCTCCAACAAGTTTTGACCCAACACCATGAATGTCATCAATCAATCACATTGTTAAGGCTGCCTGTGGCCTCTATGCTATCAGGTTCAGGTTCAGGTTCAGAGTGTGTTCACTTCACCTCAGTGAACACATTACTCTCTCCTTTCTCTTTCAAACACTCAACACTATTTTTACTGGCCTCTTTCTTAGATTCCCTTGCTTGTTTCATCTCTACAAACCCTGGCTCCATCTTTGAACTGTTTCTACCCAGAACCTTCTCCTGTCTTCAAAATCTCCTATTCCCAAATGCCTACACAGCATGTCTCTCACACCGGCAAATTTAATATATCTAAAACCAAAATCCAAAAGCATTTCCCCTAAACAAAGAGACTGCTTCATCTCAGAGTATGAGAACTATATTCATTTTTTTCCTTATTCAGGCCAGTGTATGAACCTGTCTTTATGCTTCTGCTCTAATACTGTGTCTGATCCACTAGGAAATCTACCTCTGACCACTTCTCACCACTCCCCAGTAATGACCGAAGTCTGAGATATAGACCTACATTATGGTAATAGCCTCCTCACTGATCTCCTTGTGCTGTGCTTAGCTCCTCATGATATAGACTCATATACTTGCCAAATGTCTCAACTTCCCTAACCTAAACCCTCTTAAGCCTTCCCATCTCCATCAGAGGAGCCCTCGGTCATCTCAGTGGCTTTCCAAACAAATCAAACACATACCTGTGCTCCTGTTCCCTCTGCCTGGTTGTCCCCTCACCTTTTTCTGGTCTCCCCTCAGATATCACCTTCTCATTGAGGCCTAACTTTGAGAATAATGCTTATAATGGCACATACTTCTTATTGAGCTCCCCAGTACTCATCCCAGAGCTATCTCCCTAGTGCTCCTCTTCAAATTTCCTATATGACCAGATTACTATCTATCCTTTTGTAAGAATGAAAACTCTTGAGGGAAGGGCCTGAAACACATCATATACACAATAAATATTTATTAAATGGATGAGCAAATATTAAATGTGAAAAAATGTATTTTATTTAGTCTATTTATAAAGTAGTCATTTTATATGAAAAAAAGGTTTGTAGTGGTGTGATCTCAGGTGTAGAAGTACATGCACCCAGTCCCAGCTACCTGGGAAGTTGAGACAGCATGATTACTCAAGCCAAGGAGATTGGGGCCAGACTGGGCAACATGTTGAGACCCCATCTCTTAAAAACAAACAAACAAACAAACAAACAAAAAAAACAGATTTTTTAAAAAAAACCTGTTTGTGGTTTAAATCTCAAAGATCTCACACATTCTTTTCTTCTTCTTCTCTCTCTTTTTTTTTTAGTTGTAGAAGGACACAATACCTTTATTTTTATTTATTTTTATGCAGTGCTGAGGATCAAACCCAGTGCCTCACATGTTAGCACTCTACCACTGAGTTACAACCCCTCATGCATTTCTTGGTAGATTATTCCTGGGCATTTATAATTTTTTATCCTATTATGTAAGGGTTTTCTTTTTATTATTAGATATTCTAAATGGGTATTAGTAGTAAAAGATAAATAATTAAATTTGTTCTTATATGAGGCCCTTTTTTATTTTTTTGAGACAAAGTCTCACTGAGTTCCTTAGGGTTTTGCTAAATTGCTGAGATTGTCTTGAACTTGAGATCCTCCTGTCTTAGCCTTTAGAGTCGCTGGGATTACTGGCATGCACTACCATGCCTGACTCATTTTTATATTATTTCCCAGTATGTCTACCCTCTTGATTTCTGCTTAATTGTACTGCAGAAATTCCAGAGAAGCAAAACAAGTGATAGTACCTACTCTTGTCTTTTCTTGACATAAAAGGGAATCAGGATAACCTGTGAACTATTTGCCATTGGTTTTTAAAAGACACAGAGTCAGGTGTGGTGGTACATGTCTGTAATTCCAGCTACTCAGGAGATTGAGACAGGAGGATCCTAAGATTGAAGATAGCAACTTTGTAAGACACTGTCTCAAAATAAAATGAACAGGGTTGGGAATGTAGCTCAGTGATAGAGCACTTGCTTAGCATGAGGAAGGTCCTGTGTCTGATCCCAGTACAAAAGAATAAATAGATAAATAGACACAGAATTTGATTATGTTAAGGAAATAGCTTTCCATGGGCATTTTTAAAAAAAACATATTTATTAGGGACTGATAACTCAGCTGTGGCAGTTGAGTTACATAATATTATTTTAAAAAGAATAACCCTCTTAATAATTATGGGGCTTTTCTAATTCAACCTCCTTCAATCTCCTTGTGTTATTGTTTACGTTATAGTAATAATTTCCTTACTCACAAAATTCTTCCATTATGAATCATGGTTAATTATAATGCATTTCTATTTTCAAATATTATAACACTTAGTAGTATCATTACTGATTTTTATTCCTTCATTCAAGTTAATCTGTGCCTCTGTTTCATTGTTACTTTTTATTAGGTTTTGGAAATCTTTGAAGAATAAACTTTTCTGTGTTCTGTATATATTTTCTTAAAAGCTTGAAACAATGCATCAACAAGTAATCTAGGTCCAGAAATCAAATTTGAAGACACAGTTAAACTACTGCATTGGATTTTACTCTGTTTAGGTTTTTCCTCTCTGTGGTTATAAATTTTGAAAGCCTTATTTTGTTTTAACTTATTAGTTTAATCGTATAAAATTATACTGTTCATGTTTTTCCATCTAGGTTAAATATTTTTCTAGACCTTTACTTCTAATTTTGCTGGTTTTTCTCTCTACTCACTAATTTAATATGTCAAGGATGTATTTCTCACACTTTGCTTTTCAAGGACCTGGTCCATTCTTACTCGTTTATCTCTTAATTCCACTGATTTTTTTTTCTTTTCTTCTTAAATGGTTTAGCCCACACCTGCTAGCAGGACCAATGAATAAGGAGTGGCAGGTATCCCAATTGAAAGTAACCAACCCTACCTGCCTGTTAAAGGAGATCCATAGGGTTTTGGGGCAATAAGAGGTGCTGAAGTTAAGGCTGGACCTGAATCTCAGGTTAGGGGACCCATAATATTTCTTACTTGAGATCCCAAGTAATGCTTGAACACCCTCTTAGACACATGTGCCAAATTCCAGAGAAGCCTAACTAGGTTGCTATAAAATTGCTGTGAAATAAATAAGGGCAAATTATACATTTTTGTTATTATTAAACAATAACACAAGGCTACTGCTTCAGCTTTTACAAAGTAAACTTAATCCATGGTTAGGAAGAGACAGATATGTTCACCTTTACATTGTTTATGGAGTATTTACGGAACATATGATATACAGCTAATGAATAATATATAGCCAATGCCTCTCAAATCTCTTATTCCTGCTTGGTCTTCTGTAGAGTGCTAGGCTAATAGTTTACTGACATTTCTTCCTCTACCTGCTCAAACCTAGTCCACCACACACTAAACTGGTGCCCATTCCCATAAGCCTATTGCTCTTATGGTCTCTGTAGTGGATACAGTTGGTTATGCAGACACACAAAAAGAAATCTATATCATCTCTCACTGGGTTTGTCCTAAGTAGTTTCCAAATCTATCTCTTCTCCTCTCTATCCAAAGATCACAGGCCTTACAGTTTTCATATGAACTACTGGAACACTCTCCTTTCCAAGAGCTATCAGAACAACCTCTCTCTTTCATGATGAGTAACACCCTCACTAACAGGGCACATGAGCCCTATACACTTGGCTAGCCTAACTTTGTGCTACTCTCTTCTTTGTCTATAAAAGATACAACCAGGGTAAAATGTTTCCAACTTGCCATTTATACTAAGCCTTTTTCACTATTGCTGCCCTCCTGCTTGGGCTTCAGTTCATTCCTGGGCTAGACCACAAGCTTCCTGAGAGAAGTATAAATTGTATTTATCTGGTACCCTGGGGCCTGGTCCTAAAGTGCAAGGGCTTTTAGATTATTACAGATTGACCTTCTTCCTCTTTAGTTTCAATATAACACATGCCTCTTTCCATACATTTTGCAAACATACTCAAGAAATTTTCCTTGGGTGCCTATGGGCTAGTTTCTGGGAAATAAAGTATGCTTACAGATTTAATGATCCAGTGAAGAAAGTACTGATTCAGTTCAGCAGGATGAATAATAAGATGTGGAAAGTTTTACATCAAAGATAAATATGTATTTCATGAGGGGAGAAATAGGGGACTAAAGGCAGTTGGAGGTTGGCAGGAGAGTCAGTGACTGCACAGACCTTGAGAGACAAGGACGTGACTGGTGGAGATAGGAAGGACAGCCCAGATACTGGGCTGCTTTAAGAACCAAACGTTCACACTGGGTTCATAGAGGTGCTGCTGAGGATCTGAGGGATCCACCCACCCCAGAGGGCAGCCCTACTCACCACCTGAGTGACTCCGGAGAATGGAAACACACCGCCACTGCTCCACATTGGCAAGTTTACCACTGGAGCCGAACACAGTACTGGGCCCAATGTACCTGTATAAAAGAGGAGTCAGACAGGCACTCATGGAGTTCTTTGAGCTCTGTGCAGATGTGTCCTGTAGCACGGCTTATCATGGCAGACACAACAAAGTAAATATAGACAAAGATTGGAAAGCACCAGGTTACTGAACAAAAGCAGCTAATTAGGTAACTTGTGATCCATGCAGTTGATGAAATACTACACAGCCATTGCAAGTCTTGCACAGGAAAATGTTCACAACATATTAAGTGAAAGAAGCAGGCCACAGGACATCATATACAATATGATACCACTAATGCAAAGTTTAAAACTGAGTAGAAGGACAACATAGAAAAATACCTAAATATCAAACATGGCCTTTTAAATGATGGGATTATGAGATACATTTTTCTTTTACACACTTTTTTACTTTTCCAAATTATGTACTAAATGTTATTTATGTTGACTATTTAAAGTAGCAAAATAAACAGAATGTTGAGGCCCCTACTAATGAATCAAATAGCCCTGCCCTATCACCAAAGGTGGAGAAACCGCAAGCACCAGGTACTAACTCTTTTCAGAAAAGCAGTTACTTGAGGCCTAGTGGAGGCAGCGTGAGCCTCTGTGAACACCTTTTGCTCCTATAAAGCTCTGTACCAACTCAGAGTCTGTGAGGCAGCCCAGTGGGTCCAAGGAGGTGGCATGCCTCTGCTCTCAAAGCCCCAGCCATGGGGTCACTCTGGCTGAACAATGGTATAAAGTCTGGTGCTGCAGCCTGATTGACCCAGAGTCACCAGGGGAATTTATCCTGGGACATACATGCAGGACCCATCCTGACACACTTTATGCCTGGGGGTAAATAAAATTATAATTTGCCTGTTAGCTCATTTTAGGTACAGGGCTGGAGCTTCAGGCCCAGGGTGAAGCTGTCAGAGAATGAAGCAAGTGGCAAAGAAGGTGGACACTGGAAACCCCATTTTGATCCCATCAGAGCACCTTGATTTTAGCAATTTATATGTTGGGGTTCCATGTGAAATTTCATTTAAAGAACAAAACAAATGAAACCATCATGTCAGCAGCAGAAGGGCTTACTCAGGTGGAAGCCCTGCAGCCCTGCAAAGGAGTGGCTGTCCAAGTCAGCAGCAAGGTCAGAGGTCTCCAAATTTTCTGCTATTGACCCATGTGCACTTCCTGCTACTTATTAAGTTAGGAGCTCTGGGGACTTCAGCACCAGGGTGGGAAAAGTGACTTAATAAAGACCAGCAAAGAAGCTTCTAAAAATTAAATGTGAAGAAAGGAAAATGATGCTTACGTAGCCCGCTTCCACACCATAATCAGTTTGTCATCTCCCCCAGAAGCTAAATACATCCCACTGTTTGACCACCGCACACAGTTCACACATGCTGGGAAGAAAAAAAAAATAGGGTGATGAAAATCCAATAGTCACGCCCATTTGCTCTATGCAGAGTTTGGCAAGATGTGAAGGGTTTATAAAATCTAATCTATCTAATCTATTTAAGGAATCTACTGTGTGAGAGCCCCAGAGAAACAATTCAGTCAGAGCACTAACCTACTTGTTCTATAACAAATTATGAGAACATTCTGGAGGGGGAAAATATGCATAATCTGAGAATTCTTAGCTGAATGAAATAGAATTGGAGGCTTATTTCTATAAAAAGTGATAAATCTCATTATTTTAAAAGAGCTATCTATTGGTGAGATGTTATTTTTGAACAGAAATTATTCTCAAAATAAAAATCTGTATTAAAAAGGTCAAGATGCCTTTTGCAGAAATTTTAGGGCAGCAGTTTGGCAGAGTATAAAACTCTGAGTTAATCCTACTTGTCAGAGTCAGACCTTTTAAATTTGGATTTTATAAATTTGTCAGCAATGCAGATTTGTTGATTCTACACTTATAAATTAAGACCAGCAGAAATCCCCCATGCCTCTGCTAGTTCAGAGCCTCCAGGAACAGACACAGCTCAGCCTTTGGAAGACATGAAATGTAATAAGCACTAACAAAGTCGTAGCCAATACACGGCCTGTGAGTAACTTGTGCTCCAGGTCCAAGGACACTGAGAGGCATTTTGGGAGGACAAGAACACACAGAGCAAATGGCTGACATCCAAAGGCCATTAACTGTTAATGGAGCATCTCAGGGGTGAGACACTATGGCACTACAGCAGGAAAGGAAACCAAAGCACTATCCATCAGCCTAAAGAGTCCTGGCAGAGAGCCTTGGAGTGATACAGCATCAACCTTAGACATTTTGGTGAGTTGTCTCTTATACACCCTTCCCAAGTACCCTATTGCGTCCAGGTTGCTGGCCCCAAAGCCCCATGGAATCAGGCAGTAACGACTCATGAGCAGGAAATCACCAGAGGTACCTGCAGACTGTCCAAAGATGGTTCTGTGGGCGGGCCGAGTCTTCTGCTGAATAACTCACCCAGGTGTGCAGCCAACATCTGTGCCTTCAGACAGCAGGCCGAGGGGAGTTACCGCCGCACGGGGCCTTATCTTTCTAATTACAAACACATGTGCTAACCTTGGGCACTCTGCCAACACGCAAAGCCTGCAAAGGGCCACTCTGTAATACCTAAGTGATTGTCCATCTGGCAAAGCATCTTGGGAATATTTTCATCCTTCTCATCATCCTCCTGGAGGACTGGAGACATATTCCAGATCACAACCTTCCCAGAATCCTGCCCTGAAATGAAGAAGCAAAAATAGTTCAATGTGCAAGGAGTGAAAATTTGATACGGATATATAATATTAACTATGGGAAGCCCTCACTTAGTTTCCATAAGTTGTAATTGACTAGGTCTAAGGGGTTTGAACTTGAATTACTCATGCAAGTTGTAGAAAAGGTGAAGAAAAACAAGTACTCATGGGAATCCAAAAAAGAATGGGCTTAGTAGTAGCTGAGACCAACCTGACTTTATGAAAAGAACTCTTGACTAGAAACCAAGGAGACTGAGTTCTGGTCTGGCCTCTTAATTCAGGAGGGGCTCCTAGAAGGTTCTCATCCCTGTCCTGGACCCAACTCCTTATCCCTAAACTGGAGAGGATAGAAAGCTGATGTGCCAGACCCTTTTAGGTCTGTATATCCTAGAGAGCAAGGAGAAAAGCACAGTCTGACCAGGATTTTCCTCCCTTCTTCAATGTACTGCCTGGAATCCACGTTCTTCCAGAGCTGACCGGATACTCTAAACCCAAGTTTGAAATGTACCCTAAATACTTTGCAGTCACCTACAGATGGGAGATAAACCAAAAGAAGGAATTCAGGATTCCTATGGTGAAAAGCTAATGTACTGCTTCTGCTGAAAAATATACCTGTGTGTTTTACTAATAATTTCGAAGATTTCCATCACTAATAACTAACACAAGCATAGTTCCTCATTAACCTGCTAACACAGAGGGGAAAAAAATAAAGAATACTTTAAATACACATACCAAAGTGACAACGAAATGCCTGAATTTCCTCTTGGTCAATAAGTAAGTCATAAGTAATAATAGTAAGACTTTGCTATTTTGAGTTAGGTGAAAGATATGTTGCCCCTGTGGATAAGAAACCACCCATTTCTCCCTAAATCTAGCACTCTTATGTGAGGCTGCAGGCTCTTCTCCCAGTACCCAGGAAGCAGAGAAAGACCTTCCTGCCCATAGCTTCCCTGTATTCCCTTTTTGCTCCCTGGCTCCCAGGAGAAGGTTCTACTGCCAACCCATCCTGCGGCACCTCACCTGAGGATGTAAACACAAAGGCACTCTAGGGGCTGCCCAGGGAGGCCTTGCTGGAAAGTGAGGCCCTGTTCTGTGGCAAACCTGCTGGGGATAAAGGTACTGGGTCCTGCCACTTCCTATCACGATGTATACATCTTGTAATGGGATAAAAAATGGCTGTGATTTTCCAAACAGAGCAAAGTTACTGCAACACTGCAACAGACACTGAATGAAGCACACTGACAATACTATGTATCATATCTTCAAATGCCATGGGCATTCTTACTTGCCCACAATGAACTCTCACTTTAACCTAATTGAATTCCTTTAACCAGAAGATGGGCTAAATTATTATCTGATTATTATTACTTAGCAATTTAACTATCCCTTCCCCTTTTTAGTCAAGAAAACCACTGACAGATCTCTTGCCTCTGGGAACTGGGCTTATGCCCAGGGTACCACCTGCCTCTCTATGCTCAATAATCCTGGCATGGGAATGCAAAATTTATTTATTTTTAAATATTTATTTTTTAGTTGTAGTTGGACACAATACCTTTATCTTATTTAAACATATTTTAGCCATGTGGTGGTGCATTCCTGGAATTCTATAGCCACTCAGGAGGCCAAGGCAGGAAAATCACAAATTGAAGGCCATATTTGGCAACTTAGTGAGATCCTATCTCAAGATTAAAAAATAAAAACAGCTGGGGATATAGCTCAGTGCTAGAATTCAGTACTGGAAAAAAAAGTTGCATATTTTAAACTGAGTCACATCTATATTGAAAAAATAACAAATTAACTCTTTACCGCTATCTTAACTAAGATAACCAGGGGAAGCAGAGCAAGGCAACAGAACTGTGATGCTCTCCCAGGCTCACTCCATAAACATACCTTGTCCTCCAGTTGCGAACTTGGTCCCATCAGGGTGAATATCAACTGAAAAAATCGGTTTGCCTAAAAACAAAGAAGAAAAAGCACACACATCTAAATTGGCATTTTATTCACTGGAGAACAGCAACAGACACTGAATTTTAAAATACTGACTAATCACGTACTATCTTTAATTCCTGTACCTCAGACAAAATAACAGGCTACAGGTAAATTACACACAAGAAAGTATAGTAATCTATTAGTTTCAGTTAAAGTCTAAGCTGTGGAAAGACTCTCTGAGCAACATTAGATAGTTGAGAGTCCAACATTACATCAAAGTATTCTGTCATTGAGAATGACTGAGCATTTGTCTGCCACTTTTTGAGGACATGGGATTAAAAGCTCTAAGTCGCAGGTACTTAATAAAAGGAGTGATAAAGCTATACCTGCTGGCATCTCCCTGTCTACCTTTGTCTATGGGTCTGCATTTGGCTGATAGCCTGGAAAAAAGGACATTCTTCATCCTTTCTAATTGGCTGTCTGAAGCTGAGCAGGACCAGCAGCTGGCTACAGTACAGAGGCCCCATCAGGCTTCTGCTTTTAGAAAGCCTTCTTGTATGTTTTCATGGCATCAAAGTCAACATCAAGTCTGCTCCTCAGCATCTCCTCTGGTGGAACCTCCAAAATTGTGTATGTTCAATGTTAAATCAGATGTTCAGTTGCTGAGGAGATAGGGCTGTGGCTAGTTCTTGGAAGCCCCACAGGGCCCACTGTGAAGGAGCCCATGGCTAGAGGGTGGTCCAGACTGGTGAAAATGCTATAAGTAGACTGAGTAAGGTAATCCAGGGGCCTGGTGTCTGGTGGGTCTTTCACCAACTCCCTGGACTGCTTCCAGGCCAAGAGCTTCAACATCAGTTGCTACTGAGTTCACCACAGTTATCTTCAGCCTTTAGCACAATGACTGGTGAACATCATCTCTGTTTTATTCAGTGACAGATTAGATGCATGACAACAAAATGAGCATAAGCAATTGCTGACATAGGCAAAGGGTATTAGTTAGCTTTTTGTCACTGTGACCAAAAGTGACCTTATTATGACCTGACAAGACCAACTTAAAGGAGGAAAAATTGGGGGCTCATGGTTTCAAAGGTTCAGTCTATGGGTGGCTGACTCCATTGCTATGGGCCAGAGGTGAGGCAGAACACTGGTGGAAGGGGACAGCAGCGGGAAATTGCTGCGGCCAGGAAGTAGAGAGAGAGGGTGAAGGGCCAGAGAGAAGATGAATGCTTTCAGGGCATACTACCTCCTCCAGCCACACCCTACTTGCCTACAGTTACCACCCAGTTAGTTCATTCAATATAGGATGAGCTGATTAGGTCACAGCTCTCATAATCTAATCATTTCACCTCCGAATATTCCTGAATGAACACAGAAGCTTTTAGGGAACACCTCATATCAAAACCATAATATCAAGAATCACTTAATTGAAGATGTTGTCTGTCACCTAAGAGGAAGCAGTGTGGACACTGGGATGAGAGTTACCAGCTTCAGAATCATACAGCAAGTGAGAGTGGGGTGGGAGCAAGTGGAGGCTTCCAAAGCTGTAAAGTCTGCCAGAGATCCTACACAAATGTGGAAAATCCAATGCTGGTACCAAAGGCAATGCCTAGCATGAGTTCCAGGCAACACCCAGCTCACCTCATCTTCCAGAGGACCACAGTTGTGCAATCAAATCAAACATGAGCTTCTATTAGACAAGAGGAAATACAAATTTCTTTTTACTAGTCATTTATATGATAGTAGGAGAAATAGCCATGCAAGGCCAAATACAAACACCTTAGTTGTCTCAGGGAGCTAGTAGAAACACTTGGAAAGTGTAGAAATCATACACCTTCTATCATCTCTAATACGTATTGAATGATAAAACAACAAAAGCTACCACAACAGGGCCCTGTTATCATGCTGGTAGGCCCTAGCCTGGTCCCTGAGTCCCTCAGTGACTTCAAGGCCCATACCTAAGAGTGAGAGCTCTATAGAGACTGGTCAAGCTCAGTCAAAGCAGCTGTTCACCACCTTCCTAAAGTACAGGCAGTATGCTCAGAGCTGTCCCAGATACACAGGAGACTCAGCCCTAGTCTGCTCCAAGTGTTAATCCCAAGGGGTCATGAGACAAGCCTCCACATAGCTTGTGTTCTACCCAGCTTTCAAGGAGCAGGTCTGATAGCTGATGTACTCAGGTGGGAGGCAAGAGAGACTGTAAATCAGTCTTGACAGGCCAGACATGATAGATCCTAATTAGTCCCATCTTAACCCTCAAGAAAGAACTCAGAAAGCTGACATGCTCACACCTTCCTGGGCCCCACACTTTCCACAGGCTAAGGAGCTGGGAGGAAAGTGATTACTTTCTTGTTCACCTAGGGAAAGATCTGAGAAATGAGAAAGGACATTTGGGGACATGGGCTCAGCTCTGAGCCATGTAGATTCTGCTCCCTTGACGGCTGTGCAGAATGGTGAGAACAACTGTGCACCCAGCACTAAGACCTAAGCTGTGAGTCCTGCTAGATACCAGGGGGCAGTGAAAAATCAGCACCACTAAAAGTCTTGTGAAATTCAGAAGAGAACACTTCACCAAGTGTGGTCAGGATAGCAAGAGACAGAGACTGGGCCCCACCAATGCAACCACCTCTACTGAAGGTCTCATGGTAAAGTTATGATATGCCAGCCCCTAGGAGAGCCAGAGTCATGCTAGGGCATGTCCTATGAAACACTACATTTCCAAGGCCAGAATCAATCCTCCCCAGCCCAGGACACGCTTTTGAGCATCTGCCCCTCAAATTCTATGGGAAGCAGAGCTCAGGTATTCTCTAAATCTTAAACTGTCTTCTGGAGTAAATATCCCCCCCGCTTCTTTTTTGCTACATTATAGTTGTACATAACAGTTGGGTTCATTCAGACATGTGTAAATGCATGGAATTTAATTTACCCCATTTCATTCTCTGGTACCCTCCCCCTGCCTCCGCATTTTCCTTCTTCTATTCTATGGGTCTATCCTACACTCATTTATGTGTCACTGTGACCAAAAGTGACCTTGTTGTGACCTGTGGTGTTCCCCAAAGCTCACATGTGAGACAATAGGAGAATTTTCAATGGTGAAATAATTAGATTATGAGGTTTGGCCTAATCAGTCCTTTAATCCACTGATATGGACTAAGTAAGTGGTAACTGTAGGTAGGGAGGGACTGGCTAGAGGAGGTGGGTCACTGGGAACATGCCTTTGGGGTTTATATTTTGACCCTGGTAAGTGCAGCTCTCTCTGTTTCCTATGTCATGTCCTGAGCTGTTTTCCTCCTCCATTCTCTTCCGCCACAATGTTCTGCTTCACCTTGGGCCCAGAGCAATGGAGTTGGCCACCTATGGACTGAGATCTCTGAAACTGTGAGCCAAATAAACCTTTCTTTCTTTAAAATTGCTGTCAGGTTTTGGTCATAATGGCAAAAGAGGTGATTGAAACAGTGCTTTACATATATATATAAAGGTGGAATTTACTGTGATGTAATATTTATACAAGCACAATAGCAAACATCTGTCAAATTCATTTAGCATTCCTTCCCTTTCCTTTCCCATCCCTCCTCCCTCCCCCTTAATCTCCTACTTCGCTGATCATCCCTCTATGATATCAGACTCCCCCTTTTCCCAGCTTACTTTGCTCTAGTTTCCACATATGAGCAAGAACATTTGATCCTTGATTTTCTTTTTAAAATTTTTTGGGGGCTGGGGATGTGGCTCAAGTGGTAGCACGATCGCTTAGCATGCGTGAGGCACTTAGTTTTATTCTCAGCACCACATAAAAATAAAATATCGTGTCCACCTAAAACTAAAAAATAAATATTTTAAAAAATATTTTTTTAGTTGTTGATGGACATTTGTTTGTTTATATGTGGTACTAAGAAATGAACCCAGTGCCACACACATGCTAGGCAAGCACTCTACCACTGAGCCATAACCCCAGCCCTAATCTTTGTTTCTGAGTCTAGTTTATTTGACTTTGCATGACGTGTTTCAGCTTCATCTTTACCAGCAAATACCATAATTTTATTCTTTTTTATGGATGAGTAAAACTCCATTGTGTATATATACTACATTTCTTTTTGGGGGTGGGGGGAACCAGGGATTGAACTGCACATCTGGGCTCATTCCATATCTTTGGCTATCATGAATTGTACTGCTATAAACAATGTGGCTCTTTCATTACAGGATGCTGATTCTGGTTTTTTTTTTTTTTTTTTTTTTGATAATATTAAGGAGTGGGACAGTTGAGTTACATGGTGGTTTCAGTCCTCATTTATTTATTTATTTTTTAATTGTTGATGGACCTTTGTTTTATTTATTCATTTATATGTGGTGCTGAGAATCCAATCCAGTGCCTCATGCATGTGAGGCAAGTGCTCTACCACTGAGCCACAATCCCAGCCCCTCAGTACTCATTTTTTGAGGAAATAGATATTTCTGACATTCTCCTTTTACACAAGGAGGAGAAAACCGGTATGCAGAGAGATTTGGAAAGTTGCCCAACACCACACAGCTGCCTAGTAGAGTCCAAGCACCAGGCTCCACAGCCTGAGACTTTAGATACTATGGGATGCTGCTCAGCAAAGTGACACAGTCTGGAGTTGCTATGAGGGTAGAAATAATGCTGTCTAGAGGGAACACAGGAAAAGCCCACAGGCATAAAGCAAAGGAGGGAGGGACAGGAGATAGAACATGAGTGTGCTAGTAATCACTTTGGGTCCTGATGATCTGGTATAGGCTTTTGGACTTGCTGAGCTGGACACTTCAGGCCTGTGGGCTGCTATATGGCAAACTACTGTTTGGCTACTTCAACAGGCTCCAATAAGCCACAATTCCCTAGGATTGCCACTCTTGTGTACTTCTCTTGACTTGAATTGGGACTAGCTCTGTGACCTGCTTTAACCAAGAGAATTTGACAGATGGCAGCATAGTTCCACTTTTGCTCTCTAGAGAAATCCAGTTGCCATGTAAGGAAACCAACTACCCTGAGACCGCCATGCTCTGAGGAGGCCCAA